TGTGACCACATTCTCGCTAGTACCGTTACTGGTTGAGACGTTGTCAGCTTGCGGCTCGATGTTTGTTGCGGCTCCAGATGGCACCAGCATTGCGAGAGGTGACGAGAACGACGATAACGATGACGAGGTGGAGGAGGAAGAGGAGGAGGATACAAAGGACGCATTGCTGCGCTGACGCAAGTTCCCGAGACTGTTGTTGTTGACCGCTTTGGCGCGTTGACGCCTCGATACGGACGTCTGCGATTTGCCCTCGTATTTCGTGTTCGGAGCTTTAATCGTCGTCGTCGACGACGTCGACGCGGATGTAACGCGTTCAGGCGCCGACGACGACGTCGTCGCTGCTCCAGAAACCAGCTGGTACCTGGCTGTCGGTAATATTTGCTGTGTTTGTTGCTGTGTTTGCACTCTGACGTGACGACCGTCCCTCTGTTGCTGGGATGGTTTTGGCAGGTTGTTTTGTACGTTCCAGTGAATTTTTCTGATGGTCGACCCACCACCGGCGGCGGCGTTGTTAATGGATGAGGAGGAAGAAGACGATGCCGACAGGAGGTGAGCGCTGGTGACTGGTGTTGCACTAGCGGAAGCGGTAACCGCTGATACAGCTGCTTCCGATGCACCATCAACCATCGGTGACCGCGTAGAACTCTGTAGACTGCGTACGACAGGCTCAGGAACAACGACTGGAGGACGTTGCTGCTGCTTGTTGCTGCCCAGATCGCCAGCGCAGCCGTAATCGTAGCTGCAGCATAGCTGCCCGTCCTACGGAGAGGTTCGTTGGACACTGGGTTAGCCAACGGCGAAACGAACGGGACCAAGCGACTGTATCGCGTTCGCCTGACTTTCGCCCTCTTCCGTTTCTTTTTCAATCAATTTATCTCTATTTTCTTTTCGTTCTTTACAAAATTCAACGCGAATACTCCCTTGCCCGCGCGAAAAGTCTTGGTATACGCGTGCGTGCTACCATCTATCGGGTGCGTGATGCAGTTATAGAGGATAATCAGAAGCGGGAAATTTTGAAAGTCTATAAAATATGATTTAGAAATCTAGCGTGATCTGCAATGCGATTGTTTTTTTTTTTTTTTTTTTTTAATATTTTAGCGAGCTATCTTTTGCGAATTCAAAGAGAGGATATAATAATTTTGTTTGATTTAAATTTATCCAGATATAATCTACTAAGGAAGTGCGTCTGACTTTGACGTGAATTCGTGAGCGTGCATAATCATTTTTCATAGGTTAGAACGAATTATATGAATCTAATGCTCGTTGTATATGATATGAATCAATATTCGTTGATTTGTTATGAGAAAGCATGTGAAGAATAATCGCGGATATTGTAATAATCCCGATTAACTCGTAACTCGTTGGTCCAAGACTTTTCGCATTGCTGAAGGGGATACTCAGGTAATCCTCCACATAATATGTAATTCATTGTTTCGTCGAAAACGCGTACGACGATTGCACGATGAATCCGTTTGCGGTGAAAATTTGCGTCCTTTATATATGCTGATGGATCAGATTCGATGGATCTTTCTCGTGCACGATTAATAAAAATATTGCTTTTACAAGCACAAATTACAAGAACTCGACTCATAACAATCATGCTCTGACATTCGGGAAACAAAACAATGAATTTTCATAGTATGTATTTGACCTTGAGGATACCGTATCTAGGTTATCACTACTTCCAGCAATGATTTTAGCAAAATGATTAAATCTTATGACTTTTGATCAGTAATTTGTAATTAAATTCACAAACAAAATAACATATATTTTCAACTAAAAAAATTCTTTTAAAATCTAATTCATATAAAAATATAGATTAAAAATTATGTTTTGCACAATTTCAAAAATTTTTATATCTTAGATTTTATCTTTTTCTTAAGAATGAGTAAATTTTTTATCTTATTTTTCTTTTCTTTGCCAGAATCATTGCTAAATAATACTCGATAGATAGAGAAAGAGATTCTTGGTGCTTCTATCGAATCTCGAATGCAGATCAGAGGAGGGTGCAAAAGAGGCTCAAGTGTAACAAAATCATAATAATAATAATAATAATAATAATAATAATAATAATAATAGTAATAATAATAATAATAATA